CACCTGTCATTTCTCAACCTCAGCTACTCAAGTGTAATCACCCCTGAAATCTTACAGATCTTACTGACTTCCACCAAAGGCATCTCCTTCCTGGGTTTCTTCACCCAAATGTACTTTTTGTCTTTGTTGCTGCCAAATGTTTCCTTCTCTCCTCCATGCCCTATGATTACTATGTAGCTATCTGCAACCCCCTGCACTAGCCAGTCATTATGTCCATAAGACTTTTCCATGCCCAGCTTGCTGGATCCTATATGATTGGCTTTGTGGATTCCACTGCTAATGTGGTTTTCATAAGCAGACTGCATTTCTGCAAGTCTAATTTCATTCAGCACTTTTTCTGTGACATATTCCCAATTGTAACCCTGTCCTGCAGTGACACATTTGAGGTTGAACTCATCACATTCTTCTGTGCTGGATCCAATTTAATGCTGTCCCTCATTATCATTCTGGATCCTATGTGTCCATCCTCTCCACTACCCTGAAAATTAATTCCACTGCTGGAAAGAAAAAATCCTTCTCCACCTGTGCCTCCCATCTCATGGGAGTCACCATCTCCTACAGCACTATGATCTTTACTTACCTAAAAGCAAAGACATCCTCCTCCTTGGGAAGGGATCAGGTGGCTTCTGTGTTTTACATGAATGCAATCTCCATGCTGAACACTCTCATTTACAATCTCAGGAACAGAGAGGTGAAAAATGCTGTTTTTAGAGTCCTGCAGAAGAGAGAGGACTGCAGGAAATTACAATAACAGTGGCACTAAGCATTTACACTTGTCCACTTGTCTGTTTTTTATTTTTTTCCAGCAAATTCTTTTTTCTCATTCTGTAAACAGCTGATACTTTTTCCTCTTCACTTACTCTTGACTTAAGCATATATGTTTCAAAGGACATGATTTTACAAATTCATATTGTAATTTGCTGTCTGTGTTAGGGTTAGGATTAGGGTTAGAAGAGTTATAAAATCTCATATTGCTAAAACTGTCTTACCTCTACATTTATAAATGCCATTTAAACATTCTTTTTGCTATGTTAAAGTTATTGCATAATAAATAGCTCCATGCTGCAAGTAAGCAAGTAATTGTGTAACAATTATTATACCAGTTATTTTACTCCAAACATGATATTATAAAAATTATTTATTTTTTGAAATTTAAGTTATTTTTTGTAAACTTATATTTCAATACTTTAGATGCTTACATCTTTGTTTTAAGGATTAAGTTTCATCATTGTTTTAAGAATTTAAAACTGGTAATGAGTTTACCCAAATATTTTTTTAAAATACTTTATTACTCAAATTTTCAAATCAATGACAAAATTATGTCTTTTCTTATATCAATATTAATTCAAATCATTAATTCTTTTCCTTTGATATTTATATTTTCTAAAATCTATATTTGTAGTTATTCCTGATTGTCTTTCTTTGTCATCATGTTTAAGAATTTAATATTTTTGTTCAGTATATTGTTTAAGCTATTCTCTCATTATATAAATATCTTAGTAATTTCACATATTCATGGGGTCTTTCCCCTCTCCAGTTATTTTTAAAAGGTAGAGTTTTACTTTACTTTCATATATGTGTATTTTTATGATTTAGAAAATATATTGCATTAGTTTTCATGCTATCAGTTTTTGTTGAAGGAATGTATGATTTGTAGGCAACACTCAAGTTAAAGAAATTCTTTAATTTTAATTGAATTAAAGCTATGTCACTTCATTACATGAGGAGTAAAGCATTTATACAGTTATTAAATTACCATAATATGACCTAGAATGTTATTGATCTATTGGCCATGTTTGGAGTAATGAGAGCACAACATAGACCCTGGACATCTGAGCATCTGGGACACAGGACTGGGAATTGAGGCACTGGGGCTATGGACAGGACCTGTGCAAAGATGATGCAGACACCACATTTTCCCCTCATCCTGGCTCCCAAGAGCAGAGGGGATGAGAGCAGCTGTGGTCCAGGCTCCTCAAGGGCAAACCTGGCAGAGGACTGAGGTCACCACGGACAGTAGACCTCAGCTCCAAACAGCAAGAAATGACACAGTGAAAGACAACGTTATTTCCATGTTGCTCCTTTTATTAGCCCTTTTCCCACAGTGGAATTCTAGAGGAAATACTGGTCTCCAGTCCAGTTGCCCCAAACAGAGGCAGAATCACAATGTGTGTGTGTGTGTGTGTGTGTGTGTATGTGTGTAACTGTGTAAGAATTAAAGATACTGCTTTTGCTGCTATAGGTTGTTACCTTCTTTTGTTAGGTTCTCTCATAGCTAGATTTATTTCATGTGGTTTGTTTTCTGTCATTCTATCAGATACAGGTAGATTATTAGTTGGGTTCAAACAATCTATAATATTTCTCAATTTCCAAATATATTTCCTCCCATTCTCTATTTTATTCCTTCTCTTCTCATACTCTCTTGAAGTGATACAGTTCTGTAGGTAGGGAAACAATAGAAGAAGGGCTGCATTAGGTTTTATTAGTAGGAAATTAGTAGGTAATCTCACTCAAAGTGGCTTTGTCCTCTGAAGAGATTCACTGGCTAATCCTGAGAAGAAATGTCACAACTTCACTGGAGGAATTTCTTAGGAGAGATTGAAAGGACACAGGTAGAGAAGGAGAGAGAATGAAGATCTAGAAATGCACCAGAGAGCACAATGAGAATAAGAGTTTACACCTAAGGATGGAATTCTCTATAAGGAAGAGACTGATCAGAAAAGGCACTGACAGGCAAAGGAGAAAGCCAGAGCAGGAGAGGCCCCGCTTTCAATGAAATGCAGAGGGGACATGGATGGGGCAGCTACCTAAAGAAAGAGAAAACAGCCATTTAGTTTATAAAATACAAACACATATATTCCCTCTAGGGTCACTATGTTACCACACCAGGCACACACACTTCACCTCAATAACTCTAAAAGCTCCCCTGCAAGCCCACACATTTTTATGCATCACACAGGGCAGGAAGGAGCCCAACAAATCCTCCCAAAAGGAACCTGCATGTAGGCAAGGGTGCCTGGCAAGGATCCTGGGACCTGAGGTCCAGCCAAAGACAGGGTAGGAAATACACCGTGCCCTGTCCAGGTGCTGTGACCTGGGATGGAGTGTCCTAACCCTAATTAAAGAGGCCCAGGGACAGAGGCTTTCAACTGTTCATCTTTTTCCAGACCCTGCCTTCTCTCATGAGGGGAGCTCATTTCTGTCTGCTTTTTTTTTCTTCTTTCCCACAAATAAAGTATCTTCCTTTCTTAAACTTCATCCCTCTAATTCCTTTTGGTGCTAAGTTTTTGATCAGGCTGGCTGCTCACCCCAGCTATGTGTCCCTCCCATAATAGAATCATAGTCTTATTTACAATATCTTTCCTGAAGAAATTTTTATCATTCCATCCATAATGTCAGGCATAAAATAAATGTGTTCCTTAAAATTTTATCTACACTCACTTAGTAAAATACAACATCAACAAAAACACAATACAACAAAACAAAACAAAATGCTGACAGACCACTGAATGTAAACATTATTCTTTGCAAATTTAAATAATTATGTGACAAATTAAAAGTAAATGAAGTTTAGCTACGACTCAGAATATCATCTGGGATTGTGTTTCTGCTCTCCTTTGGAACTTTGTAGGGAAGAGGGGAAATTCTTTGCTCCTTTATTCTTAGAACATTGGTCCTTGGCCCCATGCCCAGTGTTCCTCCTTGGATTTGGGCCCAGAGGATGACCACATGCTTTAGAGCCCTGCATGCTCCTTGATGATGCCCTGGTATCACTAGGCAGGGAAGCAGAGTGCACAGTGTTCGGGTTAAATGCGCACTTGCTCTCTGGGACTCTTTTCAGACAAGACTTACTGGGTAAGTGTCCATTTGATCAAGACCTGAACAAATGTGCTAAGGTGATTTAATTTATCTCAGAATTTAAAAAAGAGAAATGCACAAAAATATAAGAATGACTTATATAAAAATATGAAAGTAGTTATACCAGGGAAAAATATTCCTGAAAATCTGTTTTTTATATTTTTATTATATTTTCTTTCAGAAAAAATTGAAATTTTCAAATTTCTAGACAGACAGTAATGGAAAAATTTATTTTCACCAACCTTGAATCACAGTAAGTACCGCTCTTAAAATTGGAGTGTTTTAGAAATTATATAATGAAATAGGGACTATATCATAAGAATATGCATATACATACATTTAAAGATTATCAAAGTAATATTAAAATATTAGAAGCAGGAAAAGAGAGAATATAGAATTGCAAGCAACAGTGCAAAATGAAACTTTAAAGCTTAGTTTTTTTTCTCTCTCTTAGAGAAAAGTGGCTTCCTAATGTCAAAAGCATAAACACCCTGCCCCAGGAATGAGGAGCAATACCCTATGTTTAAAAATATCTTAATTTTCAAAAAGTTATTTTACCCTCTGAGTTTTGATTGATATATTCAGCAATTCATTACTATATGCAGTATATAATCTTACTGTGCCTCAGCTAGGTTTACTAAACTGTGAAATTGATTTGTAATTAATGCCCAATATCACTGGGAACTAAATTAAAATAAAAAGTAAGATGAAGTTATTTTAATTATAATTTGTTCCATTTACTTTCTCAAGACTGCAATAACAAGTTATAAACATGAACACAAAAGTTTTTGCCTTCTCTCAGGAGGCAAAATATCTTGGTAGAATTCCAGTGATAAGAAGTAATTGCTCTGATTTTACAAAAGTTCTTTACTCTGTTCTTCTTGTGATCCTAAAATATGTGGATAACAGTGACTAGGGTATAAAAATTATGTGTGAATTAAATGTTTTAATAAAGAAAACAATTAGGGTGTATCATACTTAAGCTAATTCTATAGGATTGTAACTTTTTATTATGTCAGAAGCAAATGTTAATTGATACCTTGTCCTCTATCTGATACTGGAATTTTTTGTTCATATCAGCAAAGTATTTGTCAATTCCCAGAAAGAATAAATTAATTAAATTAAATTCTGGGCCACTTATGCAAAAAGAGCTGTTTTACTCACTCAAGGTAACTATGGAAATTGATTTTCCACTAGTTTAAAACATTTCACCATGAGTACATGGAACTCCACCAGTGTGCCTGGCTTCATCCTCATGGGGCTGACAGACTCTGCACAGGTACAGCTGGTCCTCTCTGTGCTCTTTCTCCTGATTTACCTGGTCACATTGCTGGGGAATGTGGGGATGATACTGATCATTCACTTGGATACCCAGCTCCACACCCCCATGTACTTTTTTCTCATTCAACTCTCATTTCTCGACCTCAGCTACTCAAGTGTCATCACTCCTAAAACCTTACAGAACTTACTGACTTCCATCAAGAGCATCTCCTTCCTGGGCTGCTTCACACAGATGTTCTTTTTTATCCTCCTTGGTGGCACTGAATGCTTTCTTCTCTCCTCCATGGCCTATGATCGCTATGTAGCTATCTGCACCCCCCTGCACTACCCAGTCATTATGTCCAAAAGACTGTGCTGTACTCTGCTCACTGGCTCCTATATGATATGTTTTATTGAATCCACTGTGATTGCCATTTGTATAAGTAGATTGCATTTCTGCAAGTCTAATGTCATCCAGCACTTTTTCTGTGATATATCCCCAATTTTAGCCCTGTCCTGCATTGACACATTTGAAGTTGAACTCCTTATATTCATTTGTGCTGGATCCAATTTAGTGCTGTCCCTTGTCACCATACCTCGATCCTATATGTCCATCCTCTGCACTATCCTGAAAATTAATTCCACTTCTGGAAAGAAAAAAGCCTTCTCCACCTGTGCTTCCCATCTCCTGGGAGTCACCATCTTCTACAGCACTATGATCTTTACTTACCTAAAACCAAAGACGTCCTACTCCTTGGGAAAGGATCAGGTAGCTTCTGTGTTTTACACGATTGTGATCCCCATGCTGAACCCCCTCATTTACAGTCTCAGAAACAAGGAAGTGAAGAATGCTGTTGTTAGAATAATGCAGAAGAGTAAGGGTTGCAGACAGTTTATATCACAGTGGTGCTAAGCATCTACACTTGTATTTTCATTTTTTTAATGGGAAATTATTTAGTCTGTTTTTGAACCAAACTTTGTGTTTTTTTACTGTTTTTTTTTTCATCTCCAGCTGTCCTTTCATTAACAAACATGATAGTGGCCATTTCCAGGCACAGATGTTTAGACATTTATATTTCTCATGGCAAGCATGAAATATTTGATGTATCTGTGAGGAAATACATGTGGCTTCAAGGGCAACTAAACTGCAAATCAACAAAATATCCTCATTGTATTGAAAATGACATCATACCATATTCATGTATGCTCTAATTTTAGAGAATTTTATGCTAGTCATTCTGCTTATAATAGAGATTAATAGCAACAATGTTTTGAAAAATGGCTTTAAAATCAAGATTTACTCATTTAGATTCTAGTCCTGCCACCTTTCTAGTGTACAACCCACATTAATTCAATGAAATTCTAACAGTCAGTATCATCAACTGCACAGGATATGTAATAATTTCATGTCCATCTGGTCATGGAAGGTGGTTGTAAAACATTGAGGGCTATAACAATGAATACTGGCAATCATTAGATGCCTTACATTACTATAATATTTAATTTGTAATACATTTTTGAATAATATTTCTTCATGATTTATGAATTTTTGTTAATTTAATATGCAAACATACACTTAGAAAGGAAAGAAAAGAAGCCAGGAGTTCCAATTTTGGATTCAGAATAAAGTTAAATATTGAATTAGAATGAAGTTATAGGAAAGTAATGCATCTTAATGTTGAAGACAGTTTGGAAAATGACAATTAGTAGAGAAAAGAAAGACCTCATATTAATTATTGACATTCCTATACATGTTCTTCTAGATCACTGGTTATGAATATGTATATGCATTTAATACAATTTTTCTGTAATTTCTTGTATAATATTTGCTGCTATCTTTACTTACTTTAAAGTTTTATATCTAATAATCTGTTCAATTTTATCTCACAAGATTAACATGTTTTCCATATATGAGCAATATTCATACTCTTAGTGCAAGCACTTTGATACATTTATAAGATGTGGTTTTCTGTGGCATTCATTTTTATGTATTTGTATGAGCAGAAATTTTACATTTTTGATTTTTTGTTGGCAAACTTGACAAAACAATCTCTGACTTGGAAAACTATTTAAAAATGAAGAAATTACTAACATTTGAGTAATAGTATTAAATAAGATACAAATCATTTATATCATGTTATCAAATAAAGATAATTTAATCTCTTGGCCATAAGAAACATTTAATCATTTGCATTTGCCCAATCATTTGTTTCTCATATCACTACATGGCTCATGTAATGGAAGTTATTTCTCTGAAATAATGTGACACCTCATGCCCTCTTTCACAGGGCCAGGTCAGTGTGGTATGGAATATAAATATGATTTTTTAAAAGATCATGACTCAGTACAGCAAACTACACACACCTTGTTTTGCTTCCTAATAATTAATAGCTAGATGGCAACACTGCTATTATACTTTACTAAAATGACAGTCACTGAAATGTGTGCATGTCTTAATGTTTTGTACAGTTTCTAATAGAAGACACTATGCTTGACATTGGGGCCTAAAGCTTCAAAGTCACAAATATGAACTTAGATACAGAAAATGAACTTGGTAAAGGAAAGAATAACTTATCAGATGGTGGATGATGGCTGGCAGGGTAATTGTATCAGCAAATAGTTTTCCCAGTGTAATAAAATATTTAGGAATAGACTCGCTCAACACAAAACAATATTAATGGCTATCGCCTGAATTTATTGGTGTTTCTTACTCTGTTGCTCAGATTACTTTTGGATTGGCTGTTTTTGGCAGGTAACTCAGTGCTCAGATTCTATCTCTTGGCTCTGTTATCTTCTCTCACATAGTCAGAGGGAATTCATCCAATATTCAGTGTGAAGGACAGGTGAGGATTTATTTTACAAAGAAAAACCCATTGCACAGATTTTATTCATATGAATGTTTTTCATAAAATACTTTCATTTATAAGTGAATAATTACTCATATTACTTATTTCTTCTAATATAACTTTAAAGAACTTTACTTTTTAATCATCAAGTTCATCAGCAGGATGTCTTTACAATATATTTTACTTTTCACTTTCATTTTTGTGAGGATTGGTGATACCTTTATTTTATATTTGATATTCAATTTATTGCTTTCCATGCAGTCACAACCTTTGTTTTTAACCCCATATTATACTAATGTCTACCAATTGTATATATGTCATATATATGTATCATATATATATAATAACTTTTTTAGTGCTGCACATTGAACGCAGGTCAAGCAAAACTAAAGGCAAGCACTTTACCATTAAGCTACATATTCAGCCCTTATTAAACAATCAGAAATGAAAGACCCCTTGAGTAATATTGATCAATTTTCCCACTTCTTTGCTATTTTTCTTATAAATGTTTTTTATGTGATCAAACTTATAATGTAATTGTTCAATTTTCCTTCAGTCCTCGTTTTAAAGTAATTGAAATTAAAATTTCCAATATTTTCCACATTTAATTTTATGTTATTACATTTGTCATTTCTTTTTCTGCAAAGATTCAAGTGTCCTTGATAGTTATCCTTCCCAGAATCCTTTGAACTGCTTAGCCAATGGTTTCCTAAATTTCTTATTGGTAAAAAATTGTTGAGTAGTATATCCTCACATTTTTCCTATTTCCTTACTTCCTTACATTACTTTATACTTTTATTCATTCCATTTTCTTAACATTCATTCTACTTAGATAAATTCCATTGTTTCATTATCTGCAGTAACTCTACTGATGACCCTGTTGTAGGATTTCATGTATCTGATTTTGTGTGTGTGCATGCATGTAGGTGTGTATGCACATGTATTTCCAGTGTAATACCAGAAAATTTCCATAACTTCCATCTACCTAGTGTAAATTCTGACAATTTCATGCTTGTTGTTTACCCTCTCCACTAGAATGCTTAATCAAATGAATATCATGCCTTTATACAAATACTACCAGGAATGAGTATTTGAACAAGTTGATTATATTATTTATTCTTATACATGTTTGATAGTGATGAACAGAGAAGACTTGGAGAGCTAATATAAGCTCTCTCAATTACAGGTTCACTGGTTTTCACATCTGCTCATGGTTGACTTTAACTATGGCTTAATATGTAGCTGAAATTCCTCTGAGCTTGCATCCATGCTTTGCACAAAGTGAGAAATTTCATGGGATTCACATATTTTTGAAAGGGACTTGTCTTTGAAATTTAGATTATATGAATAAATGTGAATTTGAATTTAGGAAAGGCTCACTGAAAATTATGATTTTGTTATTAACTGGATTTTTAATAAAAGGATTCAGGAAGTTTTATTGTAGATTGTTACAATTTATGTGCAAAGGGAACCTCTTATTCATTACTATTACTTCAAGAATCTTTTCTACGTATAACACCACATTTACCAGAGCACTATCCACTTCTGAATCTTGAGAATGTAATGCACCTCAACTCAGCCCTTTTCTAATTGATCCTATCCACTCTATTCTTTTGCTGCTACATCGTTTCTTTGCTCATTCCTTCTTTTATTCATTCTTTCATGTTTCCTCCATCCTTCCTTCCTCTCTACCTGTTGTACCTGTTCCTTGCTTTGTTCCTTCCTTCCTAATGTTAAGACAAAGACAAATTAACTATGATGAGTATGCAAATTTATTCCATAAAATTTTACATGACAATAGACTAGAAAATGGCAAGGCTAAGGCAAGTGACTCACAATTCATTTCAAAGTATTTTGAACTGGTACTTATCAATATTGATCATTTTAATCAACCTAGCCCTTCTGCCTTTCTCCATTATTTCTTTTTTGTTTTTGTACAATGGATGGAACTCAAGACCTTGCACTTGAAAGGCAGGTGCAGGGCACTGAGCTAAATCCCCAGCCCTGCCCTTTCCTTCCTTATCATTCCCTGATCCTATGTCCCATGATGAAAAATAATTCTTTTTTTATTATTTCATATTCTCTCTCTCCCTCCCTCTCTCCTTCTCTCTCTCTCTCTCTCTCTCTCTCTCTCTCTCTCTCTCTCTCTCCCTCTGACACAGGGTCTCACTGCATGCTTTAGTTTAGGCCATGGGCTCAAGATGTAGGCCACTGGAGAGGATCTTCTGACCCCAGATTCCTGAGTGCTTAGATTTCAGACTGATGTCATCATGCCTACCTGTAGGTTTTCTTCCTTTTGTTTTTTGATGGGGAAATCATTTGACAAAATGCCTTGCTATGTAGTCCAGGCTGACCTCAAACCTGTTTCCCATGTGCAGTGATTACAGAGCTGCACCACTATGCATTGCTTTTCTTTCTTGTTTTTTTTTCTTTGCTCCTCACATTATTTACATATTGTGTTTATCATATAAGAGAAGTCATGCAGTCAAAGATATTTGCCAAAGTCAGCAGATACTAAGATGAGGAGACTAGGGAGCCACAGCATCCCTAGGTTGGGAGATGAGAGAGCTAGCAATCAGGTAAAACTCAGATATATGGTATTTAAAAAGAGGAGTAACTGAAGTACTTCACAGGCACAGAATAAGTGATTGCTCAGTGTGGAGGAGACTTGCACTTGCTCATGCTGATAAGAGAGAAACTTCCCCACATTACAAGTGCCAAATTTGCTACAGAGATAGAGCCTGAGGAGGAGAACTGAGTTGAGCCTAGCACATAGGAAGGTAGTGATGCTTCCCAGTATTTCCCTGTGCAGTGAGACAGGCTTGGTTTAGGTCTGGTGCCATCTTGGAAGCCCCCTCTCCCTCTGGCTAAGTAGAACAAGCAGCAGAAGGAATTCAACAAAACTTCTGCTGAGAGATATCTGGAATCACTTTCTCTATTTTGGTAGGTAGAATAGTAGACCAGTCACCCTTTTGGTTTCTGGTCCTCAAGATGCAACAGCTACTTCTCTCCACACAGGCAGTGAAACCTTCTTAAAAGTTAGCTTGGATCCAAAAGAAAGGCAGCTGG